GTGTGCCACGCCTTTTTTTATAAACAAGATAAAATTGTGGTGTGATTCCACTTTCCTTTTTTTTCTTTTAATTAATAAGTTGATAAAAACGATACATGAAATCTACTGATCAGCCAATGCAAAACAGTTGTCTAGTGGCGTGCAGATTTAGACACTAGCTCAATGAAGCGGAGAGTAAGGGGGGGGGGTTAAGAGCGCCAGTGACGGATTAAGCCCCAAATCCGCGAGATGTCAGTCGAAACTTGTTTTGCTTGACGACCACACGAAAGAAAAGAATCTAACAGCAATGACGTAACCTAATTAATTGTACAAGAGAGCCAAATAAAACAAGATATTAAAACAAATCATAATATATTAGCTGATCAAACAACACTGGAGTGAAAGTTTGAAAAAGGGATATTATTCAAAACGGCGACACAATACAATTATTAGACCGTGATAATTAACCATGGTACACGTATGGAAGCTTCACAAATATGTTAGCCCCTAATCCTAAACTTATCTGGATAGTGGTCTTCTTCCAGTTACGGCTCTAGGCGCAGCCAAGATGTCCTCAGTTCAAAAACCAGTGGCCAGTAGTGGGCAGTGACGTGAGGAACGTCACAAGGTAGGGGCTGCTTGCCTCGTTTTCAAAATTTACGGTATAAAAAACCATAGAGAGAGAAGGACTGCTTAAAAATTTACTCTCTATTCTTTGTCTGAGACAAAACTACTCATTAAAACACTCGAACTTGAAAAAAACCATGTACGTTTTTACAAGAAAAGCAAAGGCAAAAAGGAGAAAAATGTACTAAAGTAAGAGAGTTATCCCTTGTTCTAAAAAAATTATAGCAGATCAAAAATCAAAATCATGATCAATGTATGGAGTAAGCCCAATAGAAGGTGCCATGTAGGCACTGCCTCATATTTGAATACGAAAAATGCCAAACAAAATCAAGTACATTCTAAGAATTTCAGTCAACAACAATCAATATACAGGGTGGCGCATATTAAACGAACCAGACGCATTTACTGGCAGCTCAGGTTTTTTTTTGAAAAAACGCTCAGACCCGTCGATTTTGTTTTCGAGGGGGACACAAGTTTGGCAAAAAATTACGTTAACACGTGCAGCTACCTGGGCGGGGGTGACTCCAACCCTAAAATCTTAAATCGAAAGAGGGGTCGAGTGATACCTTATTTTAAAAGTCTTTCAATTCCCTTTATAATGATGTAAAATACATGAGCTTCAGTTCAGTAGTTTTGAAGATTTATGATTTAAAGCTTAAAGTAGGCTTTAATAGGTACATCAGATTAGTTTGTACTACTTTCAGAAGAAATTTGACTAAAAGAGTTTACTTAATAGGTAAATGCTTTTCTTCACTACGCCTATGGTTTGTTTATCATTTTGTTATTGAAAATAGCTATTGGAGCGCGTTTTTTTTGTGGCAAAAAGTTATTTCTCGAAGAACGATAAGGAAATATCTCGTACTTATTTTAAATAGGAATTTAGTACATAGTTTGCGATTGATTTGACCAAACTTTGTTGCTAAAATAACTTGTAACGCTTTATTACATAAATTAACCATGGTATATTCCACAGCAGAAAGAGTTGAAATTATCGAAATATGTTTCGGAAATAATTAGTGCGCTAATAGAACAGCAGAAATATTTAATGAGCGACATGAGAACAGTAACGTGCATCGAAAATATGTTCTAGAACTTGTAGCTAAATTTCGGGAAACTGGGTCAGTCGCCAATAAAAAACGCAAGATAGAAAATCCCATAAGGAACGAAGCAATAGAAGTGGGGGTTTTAGGGCAAGTTTATGTAGATCCTACGTTAAGTACCCGTCAAATTAGAGACTGCGTGTGGTATTAGTCCACGTACTGTCCAACGGATTCTAAAGGCCCATAGTTTTCATCCGTATAGAATTCACCTGGTACAAGAACTTAATGAAGATGAGATGAACATTTTCTATTCAACACTTGCTTTTCCGACGAATGTTCCTGTTTCTTAAATGGCGCAGTAAATCGTCATAAGTGCCGATATTGGTCCGATTCTAATCCCAGAATTTATCATGAGGTTCATACACAGCAGCCACAAAAATTAAATGTTTGGTCCGGTATTTTTGGCGATCATTTAGTTGGTCCTTTTTTCTTACCTGGAAATTTGGCCATTGAAATGTATTTGGAATTACTGGAAGATGCCATAGATCTAGCATTGACAGCCATAATTGAAAATCAGAATGATGCGAATAGGTTGATGTTCCAACAGGATGATGCCCCACCACATTACGCATTACGTGTTCGACAATATTTTCTATCAGACGTTTCCAGGTCGATGGATTGGTAGAAGAGGTGCCATTGAATGGCCCCCAAGATCGCCAGATTTATCACCTTTGGATTTCTTTATGTGGGGTCATTTAAAAAGCAAAATCTATGCTACTCAGCCAACATCATTAGAAGACCTGCGACAAAGAATTGTGAATTAGTGCCTTCAAATTACTCCTGACATATTGCAAAATGTGCGGCAACGTTTTGAGCAATATCTTTATTATTGCATGGAGAGTCATGGTGGCCATTTTCACCATTTACTTGCCTAACGGGTCAGTTCATTCTTCATTTTTAAATTACTTTGCTGCCAAATGTATTGATCTCCACTAATGATGATGTATTAGTTTTAATTAAGCTTTAAATCAATAAATCTCCAAAACTACTGAACTGAAGTACATTAATTTTATATAATTATAAAGGGAATTGAAAGACCTTTAAAATAAGGTATCGCTCGACCCCCCTTTCCATTTAAGATTTTGGGGGTGGTGTCACCCCCTCTTAGGGGGCTGCACGTGCTAACGTGATTTTTTGCCAAACTTGTGTCCACCTCGAAAACAAAATCGACGGGTCTGAGCATTTTTCCAAAAAAAAACTGAGCTGCCAGTAAATGCGTCTGTTTCGTTTTCTATGCGCCACCCTGTATAAACATGTATAAAAGAGCTAATTAAAATGATATTTTACCTGTTCACATCAGGATTTTTTTCTGAAGGGAAAGGGATGGCTTCCAGTAAATTCGGCGGCAAAACACCTACAAGGCAGCTACAAAGCTGGAGGGGTAAGTATGGTGGTTCTCCTCAATGTCTTCCCACTAAACGGAAGCAGATATTGAACAAACTTCTTCTGGACATGAATTAATGCACGTAGACCGATGGTATAGGAAAAAAGAAAATCCCATAAAAAATGGAAGGGGTAGCACCCAAACTAAAACATTTAAACGAAAGGTAGGTACACGAAAGGATGCTACTATATAAACTGACGATTAGGGCCTAATATCCCAGAATCTATAAATCAAACAAACGACCCACACACCACGACCTCAACAGGAAAATGACTGATGCAGAACACCTAACTTTATAAAGGAAGGTTAAATGAGTGGTCTTGAAGATATGTTTGATGGGAAACCAAATATTGTTATATAGGTAAGTACGGAGAAAAACAGAGTGGCGGTGGTTGCCAATGCGCGGACCCTAGAAAACAAACTCTACGAGAGACCAATGAGCGTCCAAAAGACTTCAACACAATACTGAGTCGCTAAGAAAGAAAGATATAATACGTGTGAAATCGTACAATCATTGAACTATGAAATTTGCCAGAGAAAATCATTGACAAGGATTTATCCTAGGAATCGGTACTCTGTCGTTAATAAAGAGAAATTCAAATTACTGGTAAGTGATCAAAATATTAAAAAATGTTACATTTTGGCACGTTACAACATCTTCAAGGGTTTGGTATAGATATCCTTAGCACACATCACGCACTGACACACATACAGACTTGGCAAATCATAGCTTCCATTCAATGAACACATGCTTGCAATCATCTGTGTATTCCAGCCCTGCCATCAATTTAACAGCCCTCCTCTGCAGCCCAAACACTCTAACTGCCTCGGTAGAGTGGGCCCATACAATAATTGCATATACTATGTGCGACTGTAAAAGTGTGAGGTAACAAATACGGAGTGGAGTATATTTGGCGACACTGCTTTCAATAAGTTGCGAAGGCCATGAATATTATCAATGTGGCTTTTCCACTGGAGCTTAGGGTCAAGTCTAAAAATTTGACTTGATCTTCATTTTGGATGTTTAGTTCTATGCTCTTCTATTTTCCGATTCAGCGTCTGTTTGCTGTTGTATTTTCATCTGACAGCTAGCTGCAAGAGATCTTTAATATAGATGAGAAAGAGTATGGGGCCTACGACAGAACCACCTTGTGGCATTTCTACCGATATCTTCCTCTTTGCAGACCTCACACCATGAATTTTTGCTTGACATCTTATGCAGATAAAGCTCTACCAATGCAATGTTATTGGGGGAAAAGTTGTAGCAAGCCAATTTTCTCAGAAGAATGTCGTGATTTGAATAATAGACTATGTTCAGTTGAATTTGATCTGTTTGCCTTTCGTCTCTGTGACCATTACGCGATGTTGTTTCATGCTTGTTAGCTATAATCCGTATGATATAGGTCTTGACAACGGAAAGCAAACAAGGGGATCTAGCTTACTGTAAGACTCAGTATGTAGTGCGCAAGGAGGTATACAGCGTATTAATTAACTATGTACCATACATTTAACAGACGATTCTTTGGGTAAGGTTCTCGATATACACTCAAAATTATCATTTTGAGTCCAGACCTATATCCGAACAGGCTGCAATTGACGTTTTGATGTCCATTAAATCGAATGCACTTGGCACGTCTCAGCTGATATGCTCAAGCTTTGCCTTCCCAATTTGGTATCACCAATCATTTATCTCATTAACAACTGTTTAGAAGTTGGGTATTTTCCAAGTGCGTCGAAACCTTTGCCGAAAGTTAGTAAACCTCAAAACTTTTCAGATCTTAGGCCAATCGCCCTATACCTGTATTTTCGAAAAATTTAGAGAAAGCTGTTAAAACTCAAATATGTGATTATTTTATGGCACAATGTAATGCCGAAAAACAGGTAATATTTCAGTGATATTTTGTTTCTAGAATGGCGACCACCCGCTTCACTTTAACTCGTACAGGTTATGTTTCTCGAATTATCTACTGGGTAGGCACCCCAATGGCCCAGGTGAACATCTTTTAGGAGCCCCGGCGAATGCAGCATCATCCATAATGTTTCCTATCGACTATTCAGCACTGAATGCCGACCCTGAAGATTTAGAACAATATGCGCCAGACCAGAAATCTAATAGACGCAGCGTGATAGTTTGATAACATATTCTGTGATAACTTGTTCTATTCTGGCAGTAGAGGTATGTTAGTATGACGTCATATTGGGGGTCCTTCTATGACGCGATGATGTCTCAAATTACATCAGTTTTACGTATCTAAAAGAAGAGAAACCGTACAGGAAAGTGCCCTAAACCGGACCATTCCCCTTATGCGGATCCTTGGTCTCTTTGGCTCTGGATCTTTTAAAACAACATTATTGCCAATTGTTGTTGCAAGTGCAGCTCGTATCACATGTCGCTTGTTTGTCCACCATTATATTATGTGTTTCAATAGTTAAAAAATGTTTTGCGCAGTGCTGTAATTCTCATTATTATCCCTAGATACGAGGGTTGTCTCAAAAATAAGGTTCCCAACGCTGTATCTTTGCCGCGCGTGATGCTGATGCTACACCGTCGTTTGTCAGCTCCCCCACCACCAATCCCTACAATAAGGCCTATTTGCGATGCTCAGTACCGGCCCAACAGCCATGCGTAATGGAGCCCTGCATTGTCGTCACCGCCAGGTGAGCTGAGACGGGCAATCCAAAATCGTTATAGACTGCACCACAATAATGCGCATCCTCACGTCTCACAACAAACGAAGGACTTCATCGAGCGATTTGACTGGGAAGTCATTGCCCATCCCCCGCGACGGACCATGAGTTGCAAGGAGCAGATACCAAGTTTCTACACGTTGGGTAGAAAAAAATGGCGGCAATGGAGAAGAATAGATAAAAAATCAGCGTTTCCAATGGTGAATTGGTTTTTTCAAATAAAAATTCCTTGTGCCTGGCAAAAATGTGGGAACCTTATTCTTGAAACAATCCTCATAATTACAAGTAAGCCTTTATACCTGCCGGGTGTTTCAAATTTGACACTCGCCATTGGGATCTCGGAAATGGTGAGAGATACGAAGTCGCTTAAATGGGGGCAAAGTTGCGCATTTCAGTAACTAACAAAATGGAACTTGAAACGTTTCGCAATTCCGAGTATTTCCGGAGAAAAAAAAGAATTTGCCCAAAACAGTTTTTATTTTTTCCTGACGGTATTCCAAAATACGCTAACTCTTTCTCCTCCACAAGGTGGCGTAATTTGGATTCCAATATAAAGTTTCACCTCTTGTGCTGAATCATCAACTTCATTCTTTCTTGTCGGCGCCATATTGGATCTTTGCACCTGCAAATAAAGTTTTCAATTTAGATTCTAAAACTGTATAATATATCATGCACTGACAATGCAAAATCTTAGTTATTTGAAAAAACTAAATTTCTTAAGTAGGCCTTGAAATTATCAGATAGCCATTTGTTCCATAATATCACCAGCTAAGCATTCCTTCAGTTTTTATAAACTATGCAGAGGTTAACAGTGCCTATTTCCGGTTTTAATGAGGTTATGTAGATACAGGGTGTCCCAGAAATAACACGCCGGAGTGACGCGGGAGGTAGATTGGCTTCAGATCAATCAGTTAAAATCAACATGACCTTAATAAAAGTTTTCTAGTTTTCGAGATATTGCCACTTTTGAGCTTTTTCAAAAAATTCCTACTTTTCGCTCCTTTCTTGCCTGTTATAGCTATAAAAAACATCCAACTTATATATAATAGTTGGTTGAGACAAGCGAGTATTCATTTCATTGGAAACTAGCACGGTATGCAAAAAAACTAAATCACTACATTTGGAACGTTTCATCAAGATACCCCCTTACTGTACTAGCATAGTGTGCAGAACACCCATCATTCTGTAACCACATCCTTCTTCTTATCTCAAGAGGCACATCTTCCAAAACAATGGGCATATGATGTTGCAAAAAATCCATGTAAATTTAAGTTTTTAAGATCTTTTGCCGATTCAGTCTGGTACATTTTTTTGACACAGTAATTAGTCAAACATTACTAAAGGTTTTCGCATTGACACCAAATGTAATAATTTGTTTTTTAAGCATACCGTGGTTTCAATGAAATAAACACTCGGTTCTCTCAACCAGCTATTAATGGTAGCCCAGGAAAAAACATAAGTTAAAAGTTTCTTATAGCCATAACAGCCAAACAGGAGCAAAAAGTATGGATTTTTTGAAAAAGCTTAAAAGTGACAAAATCTCGAAAACTAGAAAACTTACTAAGGTCATGTTGATTTTATCTTATCTCCCGTGTCACTCTGGCGTGTTATTTCTGGGACACCCTGTATGACTTGGAGTGATATAAATCCTCAAATGTCTACAAAAGTAATCTTTTTATACTTGGTGTTGACAACCTAATGCTAAAACTTTTCAGTCGTTAATTTTTACTAGGAGTCCGGTTTTGGCACTTATTTTTGATATCACGGTTCTTTGAAAAGTACTTTTTATAATAACACATTTAATTTCAATTCATAAACGTGTAAAGCAAGTAATGTTCAACACTAAAAAATAAACGTTGTACTCTTTCTGAAACTCTTAACCATTCTTCATATTTTTTTTTAAATTAGTAACAAAAAGGAGATCTGTTTCAGGCAGAGAAGAAGATAGCACACAGGCTGTTTATAAAAACGCGTACGTCTTAACACAAAACGTCTCTATGACGTCAAGTGCTCACGTCCATTACACGTCACCAAATGATTTTAAGAAGACGTCATTATTACGTACTTGTAGTTTAAAAAATATTTAATTGTTTGTCCTCTATTTGTATTTGAAATATATAAGAATGACTGCCATAGGATGACTACCCAATATAATTTTGCACTATTATGTTATATCGTCGTCTGATGAGTTCCTGCAGAAACTGCAGCCAAAATACGTAAAAGCGGATGATCTAAATGTATTTATACTAGAAAATAGGACATATTTTTTTGTTATTAGTTAACCTGAGTAAAGAGGTTGAATTTTGAAGGTACATCGAGCTTTAAAGATAGAAATGTATATAAAAAGGTTTGACACAAGGTCAATTCAGGCAAATTTGATTATAGTGGGTATTTTCCAAACGTGACCTTCACTTTTATTACACAATGTACTTAACACGATGTATAACGTAAACATAATATCTATAACCAATTTGCAGTTAGGTTGACTTTAAAAACAAAAACACCAAATATTGATCTCTAATGTAAAACATATATAACAGTTCTTGACTAGCTATCCCTGAACATGTTATCCATACTTTATACCTTTTTTGAGTTCTATACTTTTAAATAATTTTTATGTGCACAATATGATGCTAAGTCCTAGGGATTAAACACAAGTGCACCTTTACATGACTATCAAATTCTAAATACTATGTGATATTAAGGGTTTTAATAGATACCATATCAGTTGAAACTTATGTTGTTGAAGTTGAGTTGCTCGATTTTTAGTAAAAAATATAAATCATGTTAGATAAAAGTAACTCAAGTCAGTCCACGCTACAGAAAAAAGGACTCTACTGACTATTACGACGCTAGATCTACATTTATGAATATTGTCAATTTTGCACTAGTCCTGTGATAAAAAACCTATCATGCAGTGGGATAACTTGACTTACTGTTAAATAACTGATGGTTAAAATGAAAGTTAGTTGAGTAATCATGCTACAACAAATAACACTATTATTGAGTCAGGTTTTATTTTATTCTACTAATCGATTGTATGATAGAAAAGTCTCACCAAGTAAGAAAAGGTACATACGTGGTTAAGTTATTTCATCAGATTTACTGCAACGGCGAAAAGCTGGTTCTAGTGTTTTACTATTAACATAATTTTTTTATATAATATTCATTTGTTGTAGTATGTACTAAATAAATATTTTATCTTAAAAAAAACTCAAATTACATTTTCTTTGCACTATGATAACACCAAATACAATATACTTAGGCACTGATCTACTTTGTTGACTATTCATTAAGCAAATGGAATTGTTAGATATTGCAATTAGTAGGTTTATAAGCTCTTTAATTTACATAAAGGAAGGGCACAATTTGTATACCTATAGACAGAAATCTTGTAATCTGACGCACTAAAACGCAATAAATTATACTACTTGCTCATTTTATTGTTTCCTTCCCTCCCTATCCTACAAAATCTGTGTGATGGTCTGAAGCAAACTCAATGCTATATTCCCACGTTTACAAAATATACGAGATATACCGTAGCGTCATCTATGAGGACTTGTCATAATTGTTTCGCTATTTACTGTCTCGTAGTTGGCGCTGTCTGTATGAGCATATACAAGCATATAGGTGGCTACAGCGCCAGCTGTGAGACACTAACTTTTTCAAAGAATATATAGTAAACATAGAAACGTCTGTGACAAATTCTCATAGATGACACTACGGTATCTTATTTTATCTCGGATAATTTTTATGGACGCGGAAATATAGCATTAGGTTGGGTTCAGGTAGAATATGTTAATGTTGATATCTGGGCATCACTATAGTGTACCATGTTGGAGCTATAGGAGAGCCCCTTGGCGATAGAAAAACTCTCCAATATGCGAGGATCGCTATTTTTAATTAAAAAGCCTGCCCACTCTTCCAAATAATCTATTGTGGAAGGTTATGAAGAAATATACCTACCAAATACCCGTAACTTAAATGCGGTCCTGGAATAACCTAGAGCAAAAGTGAACTCTGCACATTAGATTAGGATTTCTGTTACACAAAACTGTCACAAAAAGTAGGTATTAACACTATCGCATAATAGATGTCAGCAATCGCTCCTAACAGACACAGTGTGTCAGACGGAACAACATTTCACAAGACATGCAATTTTTCGTCTGATTAGTTTCATACACTTCCATTAAATCAAATTGAGGAAACCTCTCCCATAAGAATGTGATAATGAAAACAAAAAACAAACAAACTGTCACCTGGACGACAGATAAATCAAATCTGTTATCATTGACTGAAGATCACCTTTGTGATTAAAACGTCCCCGAAGTTAGCTTCAGATTCAGATTCGAATATGATGAAATTACAATCGACCAGTTCAGTAGTGCCCAAATCGCCGATATGCTATAAAACTGGTATTTTCAGCTCCTGAGGGTTGCTTTATGTTAAATAAGGCTTTGAAACAAATTATTCTAGATGATATCCCAAAATTCGAGATTACCAGTGGTGGAGAGTGAACGAGAAAACGAGAAAAGGCACTAGTCTATCTATCTTAATAGAAAAAATACCAAAAATGATTTCTTACATGACGCTGCTACTGTTATTAGACTTAATTGTACTACCGTTGTAAATACCGCATCTCTGTTAAACTAAATTATTGTTATACTGTAGGGTGATTTCGACAAACGACGCGTTTGTGTCGGAAGTACATGTAAAACTGAAAAAATCGCAAAATCCAAACGAAGAATTGTGCCACCAACAGACTCATACATGTTGTAGAAGCCTCGTAGGAGTACATCCTAATGGCATAGTTTTGCGAAAAATCAGAGGACAACAGGGTGATTCTGCGCATACAAGGCTTCACTGCGTAAAACAGAAAAAAATTGCAGAACCCAAACGAATACTTGTGCCACCAACAAACTCATACATGTTATACAGGGTGTCCCAGAAGTCGACGTCAAGCTGAAATCGGGTGATAGGCAAAGTCATAACAGCTATCAGAAAAATATTTAAAAAAATTTTATGTATGTGTTTTGCAAATTATAGGTCTTTGAAAAAAATATAGAAATTTCACACCCTACGGCAGTCTGTCAACTCCTGTTACTACAAATATTAACTTTTTTTGGATTTTATTTTTACAATGTAATGATGAATAATGCATCTTCAAACTGGTGTATCAACCTTACTGCCAACTTTTCTCGTTCAGGAAAAATTGCCACTTATTTCCCAACCAAGTATTCCAAAGTAAAACTTTGCTCAACTTTAACTGGCTGTACTGGAAAAAATGTACTACGAGAGGTTGGCAAGTAACCTTAAAAGTTGGCGCATTTAATAAGGATTCCAAAATGGTATAACACTTAGAAGATTACTCGTTAACTTATGCACAATTTTTATTTGAAGAAAAATTGATGAAATTTTTTCAAAATTTCCTAATTAAACAGCGATTATGAAAACGCACAAGGACCCTTAAGGATAACTGTTTGCACAACAGTGGGCGTCAAAATGCTGCTGATGATGATTTACCTTTACAGCAAATGTTCAAACTGTTTTCCTTCAGCCGCAATACACGCTCGACATCTTCTTAAAAAAGATCGGGTTATTAAACGAGCGAATCCACGGTTATTAACAAACTCAGCTGCTTCCAATAGTCTTTGCCGTAGCTCAGCTACATTTTGAATCGGCTTGAAATACACTTTTTCTTTTACAGTTCCCCAGTAAAAAAAAATCTAACGGATTCAAATCTGGTGACCGGGCTGGCCACGGTATTGTACCAGACCGCCCTATCCATCTGCCTGGAAAGTTTTGATCGAGATACTCTCTCACTGAGAGTGCAAAGCGCGGGGGGCAGCCATCATACTGAAACCACATGTCCCTGTAAATACTCAGTGGCACGTTCTCCAATAAATTTTCTAAATGATTTTGCAAAAAACCTAAATAAACCTCAGCAGTCAAAGTCTCTGGGAACTCAAACGGACCGATTATTTTACCATTTAAAATTCCTGTCCAATGGTTTATCTTGAAGCGATATTGAGATTTATCTTCTCTCATCAAATGTGGGTTTGCTACGTGCCACTCGTGTAAGTTATGCAGGTTCATGTACCCATCTTTCTTAAATGTGGTCTCATCTGACCATAACATTTTTTCAAAGAACCGTGGATCTTCCCTGTGTCTTTCTAACATTGTGCGACAAAAAGCAACTCGGTGCTCATAATCCCGGGGCAGAAGAGCTTGAACACGCTGTACGTGTACACCCAGTTAAAGTTGAGCAAAGTTTTACTTTGGAATACTTGGTTGCGAAATAAGTGGCAATTTTTCCTGAACGAGAAAAGTTGGCAGTAAGGTTGAGACACCAGTTTGAAGATGCATTATTCATCATTACATTGTAAAAATGAAATCCAAAAAAAGTTAATATTTGTAGTAACAGGAGTTGACAGACTGCCGTAGGGTGTGAAATTTCTATATTTTTTTCAAAGACCTATAATTTTCAAAATACATACATACAATTTTTTTAAATATTTTTCTGATAGCTGTTATGACTTTGCCTATCACCCGGTTTTGGCTTGACGTCGACTTCTGGGACACCCTGTATAGACCTTATAGCAGTACATCTTTATGGCATAGCTTTGTGAAAAATCAGGGGACTACAGGGTGATTCTGCGCATACAAGACTTGACTCTCGAAAACAGAAACAGGAAAAAATCGCAGAACCCAAACGAAGAAGTGTGCCACCAACAAACTCATATATCTTGTAAAGGCCTCATACTAGTATATCCTGATGGCATAGTTTTGCGAAAAATCATGGGTTATTCTGCGTATACAATGGTTAACCTCTTAAAACAGAAAAAAAAACTGCAGCACTCAAACGAAGAATTGTACCACCAACAAACTCGTACAGGTATATGTTGTGGAGACCGCATAGGAGGCCTTTATGGCATAGCTTTGCGAGAAATCACGGGACTACAGGGTGAAAAGGGTTGATTCCTCAAAACAGAAAAAAGAAAAAAATCGCAGAACCCAAACGAAGAATTGTGCCACCAACAAACTCATACCTGTACATGTTGTATAGACCTCATAGGAGTACATCTTTATCGCATAGCTTTTCGAAAAATCAGGGGACCACAGGGTGATTCTAGGAATACAAGGGTTGATTCCTCAAAACAGAAAAAAGAATCGCAGAACCCAAACATAGAATTGTGCTACCAACAAACTCATACATCTTGTAGAAGCCTCGTAGGAGTACATCTTTATCGCATAGCTTTTCGAAAAATCAGGGGACCACAGGGTGATTCTAGGCAAACAAGGGTTGATTCCTCAAAACAGAAAAAAGAGTCGCAGAACCCAAACGTAGAATTGTGCCACCAACAAACTCAGACATGCTGTATAGACCTCATAGGAGTACATCTTTATCGCATAGCTTTTCGACAAATCAGGGGACCACAGGGTGATTCTAGGCATATAAGGGTTGATTCCTCAAAACAGAAAAAATTATAGCAGAACCCAAACGAAGAATCGTCCACCAACAAACTCATATATTTTAATGTAGACCTCATAGGAATACATCTTAATGGCATAGTTTAGCGAAAAATCTGGGGGCTACAGGATGATTCTGGGCATACAAGGCTTCACTGCTTAAAACAGAAAAAATCACAAAACACCAAACGAAGAATTGTGCACCCAACAAACTCATATATTTTGTATAGACCTCATGGGACTACATCCTTATGGCATAGCTTTGCGAGAAATCAGGGGACTACAGGTTGAATCTGGGCATACAAAGGTTGATTCCTCGAAACATAAAAAAAATCGCAGGACCCAAACGAAGAATTGTGCCACCAACAAAGTCATACATGTTGTATAGGCTTGATCCTGATGGCAAAGCTTTGCGAAACCTCAGGGGACTACAGGGTGATTCTGGGCATACAATGGTATATATGTTATATAGGCCGTTTGGGTTATGCGATTTGTTTCTTTTAGTCAGTGATACCTTGAATGGGTAGAATCGCCCTGTAGTCCCCTGATTTTTCGCAAATATATGCCATTAGGATGTACTCCTATGAGGCATCTACAAGATATACGAGTTTGTAGGTTGCACAATTCTTCTTTTGGGTCCTGCGATTTTTTTCAGTTTTTAGGGGTCAACCCTTGTATGCACAGAATCACCCTGTAGTCCCCCGATTTTTCGCAAAGCTATCCGAAAAATTTGTACTCCTATGAGGTCCCTACAACATATATGACTTTGTTGGTGGCACAGTTCTTCGTTTGGGTTCTGCGATTTCTTTCTGTTTTAAGTAGTGATGCCTTGTATGTGCAGAATCACCCTTTAGTCCCCTGATTTTTCGCTAAACTATGCCATTACGATTTTCCTATGAGGTCTACATTAACATATATGGAGTTTTTTGGTGGCACGATTCTTCGCTTGGGTTCTGTGATTTTTTTCTGTTTTAAGCAGTGAAGTTTTGTATGCGCAGAAGCACCCTGTAGT